AAATCCACCTAAAGGATGAGCATGAGCTCGAAAGACGCTACACATCATATCTGAAAAATTTGCACACGCGCTTGCTCCCATAGCTGCGGCACTATCCTCAAGAACTTTTGAAACCATTTCAAGAACATTTTCCAAAAGGAAAGGAAAACAAATGTGACTCGGTAGGTATAATCTAACCAAATCTCTCAGCTCTAAATAAGTGGAACAAAAGAACAGCAAACTTCACTGAATGCCAGTGACACCCAAACCTCGTTTCAGGCAATCATTTACAGACCCATTTTTACCAGACTTCCACTAGAAGCCTTTACAAGAAGAGAAAAATGTGTTCAAACTCCTCTACCCCTCCACTCTCCAAACCTCATTTCATTTAACAAATATTTACTGAGCACCAAGGCGATCCATAGCACAGGGCTAAATGTTGATGGAAATACAAAAACATAAGCGGCAACCATCAGCTTCCAGAAAACTAATCCCCATTAAGAGAAAAAGCACAAAATCATTAAGTCGGTGTCCCTCAGTGTGCTCCTAGAAACACACATTTTGATTTAATAGTTTTTTATGATAAACCAGTTCCACGGTCAGATCTGAAAACTGTGGGGTGGATCAAAGCTAAATAACTTTTTCTTTTGTAGATTCATGCATGCGACTGGCAAATGTGAATTTTGAAGCTCCGGGACAAGAATGCAAGAGGCGGCACTTCCTGGTCTGCTTGCTCATGAATCCATTCTTATGTGCTTCATCTTCCACCAAGCACTTGTGAGAAAACACTGGGCTCACAGAGCCAAAGCTGGGTTTCTCTTCTATTTACTTGGGAAGTTGAGAGGACAGAGATCGGGTGGAATGTTGGCGAGACTTCCAGGGAGACTGAATTCAAACTGAACTTTGAGCTGGACTTTGAGAGAATAAAATTTGGATAGACACAGAAGGGAGAAGCAAAGAAAGAGAAAAGACAGACTTTCTATGAGAGAAGACAGGAAAGCACCTGAGGTTAGAGCCAGACAGGAGGATGGTACATTTAAAAGCCCGAGAAAGCAACAGTGTGACTGGAAGGAAGGGCTGGTGTTGGGGAATGGCAGCATAAAAATTTAAAGGCTAGAAGGACAGATCAGATGGTAGCTACTTTTTCTACTTCTCCTAACAACCCTGAAAAATCTGCGATCACTTTAAGAAAAGGCAACAGAAACTTGGAGAAATTAAGAAATTCACCCAGGATCTCATAGCCAGGAAATAGCCTGCCTGGTACCGGAATCCATCCTTGATCACTGACTGTTCACTCCAAGCATGTCTCTCATGAGAGCAATTAAAAAACAGTTCGTATAGATATAAAGGCACACCCAATAACAGTAAAACAGCTCTATTACTATGAAAGAGCAGAAATCAATTGGGTAGGATTTTAAAAGCCAAAAAGGGGGAGGGAGAAGGTGTCTTTCTATGAGAGAATGCAGAGGTTTCCAAGTCTAGATTTCTCAGAAAGAGACCGACGTGAAGCTGGTGTTTTTGCAAGATAAGCTCAACAATGGCACTCAGGATGGATTAAGGGAGGAAGGAAACAGAATCTGGGATGCCATCTGGAGGTTGTTTCTGCGATTGAACTTAAAGAGGCGACCAGCGGGACAAGCTTGGAGATGTAGGAAGTGAAGGGGGAGGAACGGATTTATGTGTATGTGGAGCCTGCCATGCCCCACTTGGTGACTAAGCGCAGGGAGTAGAGGAAAGGGGAGAGTCCAGGAAGTGTTTTCCACTTCTTTCCTGACTCTCTTCACCCCCAAGTGAAGGTGCAAATAATGAGTTATTGAAATGGCCACTGAGCAGAGGTGGGTGATCTTGGCTTCCAGCAGGGTTCCAGGATGCACAGCAGGGCTGGATTAACACCGACACACACTTGTGCTTCTTCCAGAGGTGTTGATAAAAACCATAACCTCTGTTCTTCAAAGACTCCAGAACTTTCTTTCACAGGGGGATCTTTATTCTCAAATTTGCTTGTGAACCCCTTATTCAAGGAGAATGTCGAGGTTTTAGTCTAAGTAGAATGACCTTGAACTAGTTCCTTCAACTTTTTCAGCTTTAGTCTCTCGTCCTCAAAATGGAAAATATGATTTCAGAAGTTCATTCAAGGCAGTAAATTCTATAATTCTTATAATCAGCACCAAATGACAGGTCTTTGGCTAGAACTAAATGTCTTTGGAAAAAACTTTTCTGGCCCTTGCCATCTTTCTTTTTTAACAGACTTGTGCGTATGTGAACTCTCAGAGTCTTGACACACAAATCCAGTCTTTACTGCAACGTCTGAGGCTCTTAGGCCACTGGGAATGATTAGGTTGTGACCAACAGCTACATTTCCTTCTTGCACAAAGGGAGCTTTGCAAAGTACTTCAGACATCTCCTAGATGAACCAGCCTTTATAAGAAGTCAAAACACTTGGCTTTCATGTAAATATGTGAGCAAAATGAGACCCAACACATAGTAAATACCTAAATCTTCATGATTATGTCTCCATTCCTTTTATTAGTAACAACCTGCCCATGAGTACTGATTACACTAAAGGAATATAAATTCTCCATGTATGTCATATAAGCATTGGAAAGTTCTGATCAAGTGGCATTGCTTTGTTTTCTGAGTTTACTTTTCTGCTCCTTTTAGAACTACAAGACCATGATTCAGGGTTGGATACAAACAGAATTCTTTGAGACCCCACTCTGAAGTTTATTTTTATATCCAAAATCCTACCAGCATTTCCAAACTTCTTCACCAATGCATGCCTTCACAAGATGTTCAAATAAAAGGTTAAAAAGCCTGAGATCAAGGAAACTATAAAATAACTCTAATAGGTCAGAGACCTCGGCTGGGGAGTCTGCAGGATGTGCATGGAGTGAGTACTGCCAGAGTAATGGAGCTAGATGGACATTTCTCTGGCTGTTTCCTCATGTCAGCCCAGCAAGTTGCTGCTTTGTGTCAACTGCATGAGTTGACTCCCACAGGAGTCTGCTCAGATAGAAAACAGACAGTGCCCAGGCCAGGTGAGAGCTGCCTCACACTCTTCTCTCCCTGGAGATGAGAATGGGACCGTGGCCAAAATGGGAACTGGAGGATGGGGGTGACCGGGAGCCAATTGATTTTAAAACAGTCAGTAATACTGGCGTCCATCTGTCAAAGTGGAATTCATGACTAGCACTAAGTGATGGCAAGTGCTATTAGGGGAGGTGGAGTAAGAATGCACTGGAAGGATCCTGGTATTTAAAACTGATTTCACCCAGAGCAGGTCCCAAGACAATAATTTGAGTACAAGTCCTGAAGTGAAAGGAGATCCTTGGAGGCACCAGAAGGAAAACAGGAAAGGTTGGGGGGGAGGTGTTGAGGGGGAAGGAAAGTATAGCACATATAGTACCAAGCACAAGGTGGGCAGCACCTGCTCCTATTACAAAGTACTGAGACTGTGGGTACATGAGGCTCAATCCCGCAGGTTACATCTGGGACAGAGGGTGGATAACATCTCAGCATTGTTCCACTCAAGGATAAGGAAATAGGGATTTGTGTCCTCTAACACCCTTTTAGCATTGATGAGGGCTGCTCCACAGACATTAACTCCCTGGCTTGCCCTGCCTGTCCTCTTGCAGCCCTAGAGAGTCCTCAGGCTATCACTTGCTTGTGGTGGAAGATAAGAATAGAAAAGTTAAAAAATCAAGAAGATGTGGTACATATATACCATGGAATATTACTCAGCATTCAAAAAAGATAAACACATGCAATTTGCAGCAACATGGATGGCACTGGAAGGGATCATGCTCAGCGAAATAAGCCAAAAAGAAAAAGAAAAATACTGGATGGTCTCACTCATAGCAGGAATCTAGAAAACTTAAATAAGGGACCAGGAAAATTAATATAAGAAAGTGAAAATCAAAATCAACAAAAAACTATGAACCAGAGACACTTTTTGGGGGGGGGGGGCGGGAGGGGAAGGATTGGGGTCAGAATGGGGCATTTGCAATTGTATGGGGGAATATAAAAATAAAATTTAATATTAAAAAAAAATAAAATAAAATGAATTTTCAAATAAAAAAAAAAAAAAAAGAATGGAAAGTTGGAAGGGAGGTGCCACAAGACTAGACAGCAGCTCACACAATGCTGGGAGCTGGAGGTGGGGGTAGAAGTGATTAACATAGTCACTAAACCAGCTATAGGACCTAAAAATCCTTAGGCATGAAGGCACAGAGCCAGCAAAGTGTCAGATGCTGTTAGTGTCCTAGGGCACAGCCCAGAGGTAAAGATATGGAGATTGAGGGCTTATAGATTCTCAGATCCATCCCCTTCAAATTCTACAGTTATCCAAAATCAGCAGCAAACAGACAGCTCCAAAAGGAATGAATCCCTCCCAAAAAGAAGATTCTATCAGTGCAGTCTCTGCACTGGCCCAGGCAGCAGCCCTTCTGCCCACCTGTGCCTATGCAGGTGCTTCTCTTCCCCAACTCTGTCCCTCCACAGGGCAGCAGCTTCCTACCTGCCCTGTGACCTGTACCAGGCCAAGACTTCTCATCACTGACCTCCCTCAGTGGAGGCGGCTCTCTTCAAGGCCACCCACAGGCAACTGTTACAGGACAGGGAGAGGGGCAGCCCAGACCCAGCAAACCTGCCTGCTCTAAATGGGTTCTGCCATCCGCACATCAACACAAAACATATGCAACTTTAATGGGAAGGAACTTTAATACAATTAGGAAACAATACAGGAAAGGCAAGGAATCTAGTTTCTAAATCAAGCACCCAAAGTTCCCGTCCCCTCGTGTGTAAAAGTCCACCCAAGCAGGATTGGCCCAGAGCAAGGCCCCAAAACCTGCCACCAGTCTAAAGCATCTTCCAGTGGGGACCCACAGAAAAGGATCAGAAACAAGAGGGAAAAGAGCAAAATCAAAATCAAGACAAAAACCGCCATTGTCACCTCCCCATGGGTCTGTCACCCACATCTGTGTCACCCAGTCCATGACCAAAAGGCAAGCGCAGTTTCTCACGTGTCTCTCGGCTCCATGTGCCTCCTCCAGGTCTCCTCCTGGCTCTTCACCCTGCTTCCTTCCTTCCTCAGTCTTCTCTGCAGCTTCTTCTCTCCCTGCTCAGCTCCACCCTCCTTTAGGGTGGGGCAGGAAACCTGGAACCTACCCCCTTTCTGGGGACCACCCTGTTACAATCCCCCCTGAGGCCTTTTTCCCCTATTTTTCTTAGAAACAATTTTTGTAGGTAGCAAACCATTGAAGTATACAATATTACAAGGTGAAAATTACCATTGGCAATTCCTATACATATCAGATACTGAGAGGTTTTATACACATTTTAGAAAACCAGTGTTAACATTTTTGTACATGTCAAAGTTTTACCATTTTCTAAGTGACGATATTTTTCTTTTAGTTTTACTTTACTAGGTAAACCAAATAGGACAAATTCATCTAATGCCTTTCCCAGGAGGAAAGGGAGAAATTGTGGAGTGTCTCAGGAGCTCTGCTGAGGTTCCACAAAATTTCCTTAGATCAACCAAATGACAAGCTACCAAATTTTTACTTGAATTTATATTTTTGGGAAGCTTTGCCATAAACAACAGAAAACCACAGCAACAACAATATTTCATCTTTATGAAGGTACCGGTTTAGTTTAGTGGTACAAAGTTGACAATCAAACCTTAACCTTTAGTTTTTTGGTGTTTTTTTTTTTTTTGTAACTGGAGACTCTTTTTTTAATGTCTATAGGCATGAGGCTTACCAATTTTTTAACCTCTCGAGGCCAAGACCAGGACACAAGGAAAAGACATGCAGACATACAACATGTAGACAGAGAGCTCTTTAGTTTTTTATTTATTATGCTGGGTATATTTTATGCAACTGCAGTTTTACTCCATAGGCTCAGACAAAAATCTCAAACTCCAAAAAATCGTGGAGTGTTGCTGGCAGAAATCACAGTTTCCAGCTATCATCCTACAAACCTAAGACTTTGGAAATAGGAAAAAAATTTTACTAATCACAAGAGTTATATGACCTTGTTTATCACTTTAGGGTTTTCAGTGTTCAAGACTTTTTATTAGAAGCCAATCCTGGGGTATCCTGTACAGCAGCTGAAAGAGCAAAATCAACAGTTAACTTTTAGGCAAAAGTCATCTCTTGTTAGCCACCAAGCAGGCAATCCTTGGGTTTTCTGGAACAGAACCTGAAAAAGCAAAATCAAAATATTAGCAATTAACTTTCAATTAAAAGGAGTCATGTCATTACTTCTGTTAGCAACTCTGGAACAGAAGCTGAAAGAGCAGATTCAACATCAAAGCACGGATTACACTTCCCCCACACTAGGGAGGGACAGCAACAACACAGGTATGAAAACCTGGTACAGTTACATGATGAACCATAGAGTGCTTTTCACAACAGACCTTCCTCAGTAGGAAGCAGAAACTTAGAAGCTTGTCTTACACCAGCAATTAAATCCAGAATTCAAATGGCAAACATGCCCAAAACAAATTGTGCAGACAAAATTTACAGCAGCAAATCCTTTCAGACTCAGACAAAATCTTTTTAATTTTTCTGATCCAGACTTTGCAAAAATTTAAGTTATCTCCAAGAATCCATCAAGGCTACCAGCAATTACTAGTTACTGCTTAAGGCTACTCTTTCCTTAACACCCAGGCATACATTCGCTAATTTAAACACCACTGTTCCACAGTTGGCTTGCAAAACCCCTCAGGCAGAGGTCAGGAAGTAGTCCAAGAAAAAGCAACATATCACTGAAGAGTCATTATTGCCTTTAGAAATGCTAATGAGATAGCAGACATCACAAAAAGAAAAAAAAAGGTCCAAAGTCCTAGCAACAAGAACATCTGAATTTTATAAGAGCCTGCCAAGTGGCATCAGACGCCATATTTGATCTGGCCACATGGTCCAATGTACTACCTAATATTTTGAGTAAAACTCTTGCACAGAACAATTTCCACAAATCAAATCTCTTAGCAAGTCACTACAAACAAACTACACACAGACACACAGAATCTTCACAAAGCCCAAACCAGTTTTTTAACAGCAAATCTACATATGAAACAAACACACTAGAGAAACCAAAAATCACATCTGTGGGGCTGACTAACCACAGATGGCTCTGTCCTAAATCTGTACAGGGCAGGGAGAGGGACAGCCCAGACCCCGCAAACCTGCCTACTCTAAGTAGGTTCTGCCATCCGCCACATCAACACAAAATATATGAGACTTTAATGGGAAGAAACTTTAATACAATTAGGAAACAATACAGGAAAGGCAAAGAATCTAGTTTCTAAATTGAGCACCCAAAGTTACCAGTGCCCTCATGGGTAAAACTCCATCCAAATGGGATTGGCCCAGAGCAAGGCCCCAAAGCCTGCCACCAGTCTAAAGCATCTTAGAGAGGGGACCCAAAGAAAAGGATCAGAAACTGTAACAGGATTGTCCCCAGGAAAGGGGTAGGTTCCAGGTTTCCTGTCCCACCCAAAAGGAGGGTGGAGCTGAGCAGAGAGAGAAGAAGCTTCAGAGGAGACTGAAAAGGAAGGAAGCAGGGTGGAGAGCCAGGAGGAGACCTGGAGGAGGCACATGGAGAGAGAGACATGTGAAGAAACTGCGCTTGCCTTTTGGTCGTGGACTGGGTGACACAGACGTGGGTGAGAGACCCGTGGGGAGGTGACAATGGCAATTTTTGCCTTGATTTTGATTTTGCTCTTTTCCTTCCAGACTTGTCTGGTTGTTTTGATCCTTTTCTGTGGGTCCCCACTGGAAAATGCTTTAGACTTGTGACAGGCTTTGGGGTCTTGCTCTGGGCCAATTCTGCTTGGGCGGACTTTTGCCACGAGGGGATGGGTACCTTTGGGGGCTTGATTTAGAAACTAGATTCTTTGCCTTTCTGTATTGTTTCCTAATTGTATTAAAGTCCCTTCTCATTAAAGTCTCATATGTTTTGTGTTGATGTGGCGGACGGCAGAACCCATTTAGAGCAGGCAGGTTTGCGGGGTCTGGGCTGCTCCTCTTCCTGCCCTGTAACAAAACAACCAGACAAGTCTTTACTGATGTGGTTATGATGTGCCATCCTCCCCACCACAGCAGTAGGCCGTTTAAAGACCCTTCCTGTTTCCAGGCCTGCCTGTCTCCCACCTTTCCTATACAAAAAATCCTGTAGGCAATTGTGTGACCATTATGTAAATATAAACCAAATGCACATTCAGCTACATGCTTAATTAAATGCACTATTGTGTTCTTACAAGGCTCTTTTGTAAAAGTAAATCTACAAATCAGAAAGAATCTTTTGCCACACCCTCCATTCAATTCTGATGTAATGGACCATGAACACAGTAAGAAAAAATTGTCAGGATAAATTAAGTGACACACAAACACAAACAATAACATCAAAAACCAAGATACAGGTTGTATAAGGTTTGCTGCCACTTGTATAAAGAGAAGACTAAAGATCAGGAGATGGATGGATGGACAGACCAATAGGTAGGTAGATACACAGAAATATATAGGGGCATTCAACTATACGTGTTTAGATAGATTATCTCTAAAAGATGCATAAGAAATTAGATAGAAGAATTACCTCTGGGGGAGGAAAATGAAAAATAATGTGGGAGGGAGGCTTTTCATCATTTACCACTGTAAATTATTTGAATTGTTACCATGCATATGTTCTATTTTTTCCTTCATATTGTGTGAGGTAAATGGAAGGCAAAGGAATAGTAGTTTCAGTCTATATCTTCTGCTCCTGTCAGACTTTCTCCATCCAGACCTCTAATGAATATTTATTCCAAATATTTTCAGACTGCACCTGGTAAAAGCTTTCTTTATTCCTGCCATGTCTTCAAATTTTGCCCAACTCAACTCTCACTTGCTTCCAGAAATTTTCAGCTAGTAATTCCAGGCCAATTCGACCACCACCCACCACCATGATGAAATCCTACAACCTTTATTTATTTCACTGCAAGTACTCTGAATCCGGACATTAGGGTCAAGGCTACTGTTTGTGTTCCCTGTGTTATGTGCCCCAGGTACAGGCACCATGGAAAAAAATCATTCTAGAGCAATACCTATCGCTTATAAAAACTGAAGCTTGAGGCATCTTAGGTTAAAGTGGGCAACTTTCAATATCTGAAGAAGAATATTTTCTAGGGCAACATAAACCATATAAAGTGCCTTCTTAGTAATTTCCTTCTCCAGTTTGTCAGTGACATTTTGCAAAATATTATCCTTTGCACTTTAATAGAATAACTGCAGATCCAGGGCATTTTACCAAGTAATAAAAATAAGAGAACTACAGTCCAGGGAAGGGGGAGAGGTTGGATGGATTTGTACATAACAGCACAGCATTTGGCCCAGAGTAAACCATCAGCAGTGTTTATTGAATCTAACATAATGACAAGAACGTCAAAAAGAATATGAGAAAATGAGTTGAAAAATAAAGAAATAATCTCTTAAAAGAAACTGGCTAAACATATGAGGATGTCCCCTGCTTTTTCTGACTTCAAAAGTTAAAACAGGGTTCTATTTTTATATTGGGTTCTAGTTTCTAGGGTTCTAGTTTTATACTGATGATGTACCCTTGCTCTTACCAGTCCAAAATCCACTCTGGTCAGCAGTGGGAACTCGGGTGCAAGGCAGAAATAAACAGAATGGCCAGTGAGGTACAATGATGTAGTTAGTGATAGGGAGTGGATCAAAATAGGGCATGGAAAATCTTAGGGTATGGCAAGTCTTTTCATTCCATTTAAAACATACTCTAGAATTCAGTCCAGTTGAATAGACACCTCATTCTCAAATTAAAAAGGAAAAATTAAATAACAGAAATTCTATCCTCTCCTTCATTCCTTGAGCCCAGATCAATTCTAAATTGTGACTCAGAGAAGAAAAAGTAAAGTCACTAAATAAGAACCAGGAATGAGTAGATGGGTAGGAAATTAGAGACGAAATCTTTTTTCAGACTCAAGAGATATCCCTAAAATGCCCTTTGAGCTGTTCCCGCTTATCATAATAAAAGCAACAACAAAAGACAACACTAAAAATTCACACATTGAGCATATACTATGTTCTAGGCTCT